CAAAAATATTTTTACGCGAGTACGAAGCTCCATAAAGCTTCGTACTCAGATTACTTATGAGTAATCGCAAAAGAAATATGTCAATCTGGTATTAATATTAAAATAAAACTAGTACGTGCATTATAATATCATATTGCAAAAAAATAATTTTGTCTTAATTTAGTCTATATTCACTTCAGTTTGGAATACAACCTCTATGCGTTTGAAGATTTGTTTCTTTGATTTGGTAAAAACCGCAAAAAACTGGCCAGCTGCATTGTCCATTGCTGTATTTATGCCACGATCTAATGGCCCTAGATATGTAAGATGTTAAATAATAAAGATATGATGAACAAAAATTATTCTTTACCTATTACAACAAAATATCAACTATTTTGCTGCTTAATTATTAATAAAAAATCAGCGAAAATGTTATTTAGCGAAAAGTTTTTTATATGGAACACAGTTTCTCACAAATATAAAAAAAAAGTGTTCTATTTGATTTGAAATTACCTGCTCTGCAAACCCCTGGACTTTTGACTGACGTATATATTTGACTTTTATAATTTTAAAACTTATATTGCACTCAAAACATTGGACCTTTGTTTATTATCCTACTTAGAAAAAAGTACCAAAATTTTCATCAACCATATTCACAGCTGGAATTACGAAAGGTCATCAAAATCTACCGTATTAAGAAATGAACGAACATCCATGATAAGCGAACAAAATTAAACAAGGTGACAGTTTACTGACAACAAACTTACAAATATTGACATCTGTCATTGCTTGGAATCATGTTTTACGACACTAAAACGACTATTTTTATTTTATGGGCGCATAGGTACTCTACACTATACAAAATTCAGAGTTCTTCCATTCGAAAATATTGAAATAATTAATTAATTGATTGATGGTGTTATCTTTAGTATATTGCTAAAAATTTTCAAAACAGCAACTTAATAGTGGGTGGCTGTGTTAGTTTTCGTGGAGGCATGTATTTAATTGGTTTTCTTTAAACACATTTAACCTCTTACCATTCACATTCAGCTTCAACTTCAGTTTGGATTATCTAACGCTATATACCAAACTAATTAATTTATCAACAAATTTCAGGCCGCGATAATGACACCAGCCCGAAAAAGCTTTAATAAAATATCACTTTTTTACGTCGCATCTCGTACCACAAACTGCGATGATATCGATATCAACACAGTGCCTACTAAGTGACAGGTGAACCAGTCGTGTTAAATTGGTTCAATGGACACCGAATTCTCTTCTTTATTTTTTTCATTGACAGGGCGAGATAAGTTACCCAAAGGAGACGATTGTGCCCACGCCAAGACCTCGTAGACTGCTTTGCGGAGAGTCTGCGGTTTGGTGACAGATAAAAATGAAAGTTTTATACCTACCTGAAGGTTTGAAACTTATCTGGCCGAGTAATATTTGCCAAACTTTTATGTTGTTTGCGTTATAGAAAATTATTTATAACTTTTTTTGAATGATAAATAATCTGGGCGCTAATGATTCGTTTATACCGAAAAAGAAAAGATTTGGACACAATTTTTATTAGAAAATTTTCCAGACTTTTCTGTGATTTAACAATTAACAATTAATTTTAACGATATCATCAGGATGCCTATTAATTATTATTATTTACAACATATTTCGTGAATAATATTAAAGAATAACATAAACACTCTCGAAAATAGTTAAATGTCGATGTTCGTATTTTCAACGTAAAATATTAATTTGCTGTCTAATAACGTCACTGGAAAAGATAGCTTTCTTAAGAAATCCTGAAGAAAGAAAGAAAGGTTTAGGACGTCAGAAACATCACTAATTTATATGAATCCATTTTCAGAATCCAGTCAAATCATTTATTACCAAATTGCTTACCTTCGCATTAAAAAACTAAATAATAAAAAATTGCATTGAAAAATAAATGTTATTTATATATATATATATATATATATATATATATATATATATATATATATATATATATATATATAACTATATATATATATATATATATATATATATTATATATATATATATATATATATATATATATATATATATATATATATATAACTTTTATTTTTCAATGCAATTTTTTATCGTTATGAATAAGATCTAGACATAATAACAATAATAATAATAATGCTAGATTTTTATTCGTAACATTACATCTAACATTGGCAAATGCAAACCAAACAAAAAATTCTCTTGTGCAATTACAAAAATCAAAATGTGTAAAATTAAATCGGCATTAAATTTTATTGTCAAAATTCGAAAATGATAATTATTTGGTAATTTGTGAAAATCTAAATTGACTAAAACATATTTACATGTAGATGTTGTAATCAACAAGTGTATTTGTTTGCCGATATAGAATATCGGGTGTTAATAACAATACATCAAAAACCATAATTGATGGACTATTAATTCCATAATTTATTTGTATTTGCAAAAACATGCTATTTGTTGCCATTTCTTTATTAGTAACCGATAATTCCATTCAAGTTCACCAGCTGTACACGTTTTTGTTTTGTAGGTAAATCAATTCAAGTACAACAAAGTCAGTTGGTCATATTTGATACCCTCACTACCACTAAATTTAGTTGCAATAAAGTGCTAAATAATATTCTATAATACCAATGAAATGCAATACAAATGAAAGCTAACCAAATATGTTCCTTCCTAACTTTCTGCTATTATAGTATTCTATATAAAACGAAGCAACTTTGCGGGGTTGTAAATTTTCCACGAATGGAAACTCTAGGCGATTGATTGGTTTAATATTGGTAATTTTTCTTCCTAAATGAAAAATATCTTTTCCGTCTTCTCCATGCTCTTCATCTGATATGTATGCGACCAATATCGCATTCCTTTAAACTGATATGCTTTGAAGTGTAAAATAGAAGGCAAATACATTTTTTCATGTACCATTTAAATAAAATCGGTGATTTCGCCAGTTCAGGTGCGAATATATAATAATGAACGAATAAAATTGTAGTAGATACATTAAAAAAAAAACATTTACTTAAACATTTTTAGGTAGTGAGACATGCGAAAGTTATGTCCGAATTGAAATTGTTTTCGGTCGACATATTTGCTAAATTAATTGTTTTCTATAAAACACCTCCTATATAATGCATTTTGAAATGTTCACTTAGTTTTCACTATTTTTGAAATAGTTTTTTTTAGTATTTCCTTGAGTCTATAAAAAACATATACTAAATAATTGCATTTTTTACCGTGTTAGCCACGTGAACACGTTCCTAGATATTTACTACTAGTAACTCTTTTCTGACTCACACCATTAATTTTTTTATTTCAAAATCCTGTGAAACAATCTCTATAGTTTCCAAAAGAGACAAAAACAGACTTCTCTCTGTTGAGTACTAGTTTATTATGATGGAACCAGGAGTATATAATGTCCAGAGTTGATGACATGGCTATTGAAAGTTCATGCCACGATTCCGCGTATTAAGGGATCTTGCAAAACCAATAAATCATTTATATATAAGATGAACTATATTGGTCCTTGTATTGAGCCCTGAGGCACTCGAACATTTGTTTTAACTTTACATCCCTTATTTTCGTTCCGGTATCAAAAGCTTTTGTGTAGTCTAAAAAATTCACTACTTGATATGCTATGACTTAAGTTTTCATAAAATTATTAAATAAAGCTAAAGCATCATCTGTGCTTGTCTTCTTGAGAAAACCAAATTCTCTAAAACTTAATATGTCGTGTTTATTAAGAAAGTTGATTAACCTAACAAAAATATTTTTTTCAAAAATCTTAGTAAGATTTAAAATTAGTGCAATCGGACGTTAGTTATTCACCAAATTTATTTCACCTTGCTTATAAACTGAACAAATTACAGCTGAATTGATGTGGACAAATGAGAGTCAATACCGGGGTTAGGAATGAAATTATGCAGACATGAATGTCACTATACCCAGCAGCAGTTTTTAATTCCACTAATAAACTGATCAACTTCTGTCTCATTTGTTGTTGCTAGAAATATTGTATTCGGATGATATGATATAACTGGTAATTGATGTTGTCTTATTGGAGAAGTCACGCTTTCATTCAGTTTAGATATCAGTGTGCTAAAAAACTAGTTAAAATAGTTTGCCTTTTTAAGATCATTGCCATTCGATTTTTTATTTATCAATTTGTTTTCCTGTTTTTTGTGATACGATCTAATTCAATATTTACATATCACCACTATTTTTTACAGTCAGCATTTTGGAACTGTCTATCTTCATGCCTATTTTTAGCAGTCCTCAGCAGGGACTTAAGCTTTTTTTCGTATAGAAGGCGTTGCTCCTTTTTAACCAAATAATCTTGATTGTTTTTCTACGCCTAATATAATTTGCTTTTTTTATTAACTGAACTGATTATAGCAGTAGTAATACATGGTTTTCTCGATTTTTCTCTTTTAGGCGTTTATTATCAAAAATTATGTTGGTTGATGGATTTGTAATGACATAGTTTCACTGGAGTTTCCTTGCAGAGGAAGACTTTTACATACTTCGCTTGCTCTCATTCAGCGAAAATGTTTTTTTTTAATTAACCAACCCTCTTGTGTCATCCAGAATGAAAAATATCGGCCACCTTGTTTTAGGTTATCTGTTTTGAATTATTTTAGTATAGCAAATGTGTATTTTTTGTAATAACATGACACTAACCTTTTGAGAATCCAATACCAAATAAACTTACCCTATAAATATAAGAAATGCAAACACAACTCTTTCGTTATTTTTATAGTGTGTTCTGTCTTGCTTAATAATATATGACAGCGGCGTTGCGTTTTTCTTAAACAATAAAAAACATTATTTATAATAATTAGCACAAAATAAGTACTAAAATTGTAATAGGTCTGAGTCGAATCTGCCCTGAACTTAAGAGGTTTTTTTTTTTCAAACTACCATTGGCACAACAAAATTGCTATTTCGTTTTAATGAAAAAATTACGGTAAGTGGATTGAGAAAGTAATGAACCACTAAAATATTTTATTAAAAAATCTGGCCCTTGGTGAAATGCAATTGTCCCCCTTCGCGGGATCGTTGATTATTGATTGTAATTGTTGCGTCAAATCTTTTATCCTTTCATCCTTGACCACAACCATCTTTTCCAAATGTTCCACTTTATCTTTAAGTGCGACAATTTGGCTATCCTTTTCAGTCAAATCGAGTTCCATACGATCAAATACCTCAGCGGGTACCATTTTTTGATTCATCGTTTTCGTACCACTCATAATTTTAACAGGAACTACGCCTAAAGTAGAAAAACACATTATTCTGTAATTTTTAAGTAATTTTTTCTCAGTATACCTTGATTAGTTTGGTCGTCGATTACCCCATCCCAGAATAAAGTTTTTGTCGAAGAACTTTCATCTTTATGGGCGGACTTTTCAATTTTTACCTTAATTTTCATCAGTAGTTTTTCTATAGCGCCTGGCTTGCCTCTAGCTAGCTGCTCCTGTTCGTTGCTGGTCAAGTTAATTTTTAATTTATTTAACACTTTTTTGTTGATCATGTCCCAATTGATCAATTTGTGCTGCAATGAATTCCTCGGGGCGTAGTTGTGAAGGTCGACCAGCTTGGGAAAATGCGTCTTCAAAATTTCTGCCAAAGGCAAAGCGTCCGAGAAATCTCGGTTTAAGTTGCGTTTCTGGCGTGTAATTTTGTGATCGTCGATCCATCTGTAAAGCTCATCGAGGTCAAAATCCATTCCGATCCACAGTTGATTATATACAAAAATACGAGTGACAAATTTTGACAAGTGAATGAAAGAAGGTTTCGGTTCGTTCGTCTGTGCTTCCTTGGCGCGAGCAGGTTTATTCTTTCGATTCGCGTTAATTAAATCCTTTAAATCGGCTCAAGAAAAAGTTACTCTAATTTAAACTCAGAGGCAAGTTTTTGTTTGCAAGTTCTTTCGTTTGTTAACTTGACTTGCTTGAGCGAGTAACGCATGTACACAATGGGTCTATGAAAATTAGTTGGCACATCTTTCTGCTATCGTCTGTAAAATGCCTAATTACACGCCGATCTAACGTGCGGAAAGCGCAACTTTACGTTTTTTTTTAGTTTCGGTTTCTCACGGATCTAAGCCACTTCGGACATCTACGGGATTATACCGCACGGGTTTGGGAGCAATCGGATGTTTTCGGAGATATTTCCCACGCTTTCAATTTTGATGTTTTTCAATTCTGAGAGTCATGTCAGTGAATGTATTCGTGTTGTTTTGCGAAAATGTACCCAAAAACTGACGGTCGTAGAAAAAGTATAGTATGCAACACGTTCGGTAAACTTTTTAAGTCACCCGTTTACCGCACTTGCTGCATAATATGCTATTAATAATAATAACATATATAAAAAAATATATCAAATCACCAAATTGGTGACAGGTAGAGATCTGAGTCGAGGTTAAGATTGTTAGGTTGTTTATAGATTTCTATAGACTCTCGGATTTTTCGTTGGTAGAGGAAGTGATTATATGCAAGAATTTTAGTTTTATCAAATAAAATTTTATGTCCGGTTTCATGAGTGTGTTCGGCAACAGCGGATGAGTTTATTTGTCTTAGTCGTAAGGCTCTTTCGTGTTCTTTGAACCTAGTTGCCTTTGAACCTAGAGCCATGCATATGCGGCAAAGAATACATTGGAGAGACCGGACGGACGAAAAATATCGTCCTGTCACCAATTTGGGAATCAGTCATCGGAGACGGTGTTTATACCCCTCATTAGCCCCCCCCTCTCAAACAGTATATAAGCAGGTACAGAGTAAAATACGGGCCAGTTTCAGTCAAGCTCTGAAGAAGCCAACAGGATGATTGGCGAAACGTCAACAATTTCGACTAAGCAAAAACCGACGCAGGAGGAATCCAGAAGTTTTGTAAAAACCATTAAATTAAAATTATTAAATTAAATTAAATCAAATTGTTATTAAAATTATCACCCACTTAATTTTATTCACAGCTAATTTATCACTTCCAGAATATCATAGTCTACACTAAATAACCAGGAGTCAACAAGCCTCTTAATTTTTGTATATTCCCTAATTTGTAAATACACTAAATATTCTAGGGGCTGCAAGCACAAGGCTCGTCTGCACTGAAGTAAATTTTACCATCGGAACTGGCATGGCATGATTTGATACAAATCTTATTATTACTGAATGGCTGATTGTTTCTTTACGAATTTTGTGCAAAACTTAATAGTCTAATGACTGCTTTAATGAAGATTTTGTTGACAATTAGGACTTTCGATTCAGTAAACAATTCTTTAGAAGTTTGATTTTGAATAATATTATTTTCAAAACACACTTCTGGCTAATTGCTAGCGGTTGAAGAGCCTTATTTGCTGCAGCATCCCAAACACATATACAATACGCACATAAAATATACAACATAAAATGGATTCTACTAAAGATTTTTATATCCTAATAAGGGAACTCTTTAACAATGTTTAACGTAATATAAAAAAATTATGGAATAATTGAATTTTTCAGGACGACGCGGTAATCTCATTTAAAGTTCTGATCAAAAACTACCCCTAAATATTTTAACTTTTTGGTGGAATTTATGTAAAGATCGCATAGTAGACAATACCTTCCTTCGGTAAAATAGAAAAATTGAATTTATGTAAAGATCGCATAGTGGACAATACCTTCCTTCGGTAAAATAGAAAATATTGCATTCATAAATGATGTAAACAAGATTGGGCCCAGAATCACGCCCTGCGGCACACCATAGCCTACCGGAAGAGAGCAGCTCAGGGTGTCAGCTAGTTTAACTTTTTCGAACCTCATCACGATTTAATTAGTTTTTTATTAGGCTCGCCAACAATAGTGTCGAATGCCTTGGCCAAATCGAGAAAAACAGTAATTCACTATTTCCTGTCATTAAAAATGTGACTATACCGAGCCTACTTTTTTCCTAAAACCAAATTGTTTAGTGTTGAATAAGGCAATTTTTAAAAATTGTTTTAATCAAATTTCAATACACTGTTCAAGGAATTTACCTACGCTATGTACTAGTGATTTATATAGAGAGATAATAACTAATTCCTTAAAAATGTGTGTATTGGCGACAAAAATTTACTCATACTTTTTTCCTGCTTGAAACTGAGAGTTTATTGCAAAAATGGATTAGGGTCTCGTGTCCAAAATTATGTAACGTACATTGTATTATGTGAAACACAAAAACCAATTTTCAAAAGTATACCTGGAATTGTAACCTGTTAATTAATTCTAAATCTAGTTGAGATATCGTCGAACATAAAAGCACGTTACTTTGTGATGATTTGCATTTTAATAATTAAATATAATATAATTAATTGTAAATGTAATAAAGTTGATTTCAATATCTGGCAGTTCAGTTAGGAACACTGTTTCTACGAGCAATTTTGTAGTTTCTCTCGGATATTATTTACCTATTAGAAGATTGTGGACTTCGCAAACTTTCTTTATTCAAAGTAATCAGACGATTTTTAGAATCCACCGTTTTTTAGTTTGAAAAACAGTTATTTTCCTGCAAATTTGTGGTAGATAAAAAACCACCCAATTATAATTAACATTTTGTTTTAATTTTTTTGAATGATTGTTTTCTTTCTAGACAGGAATAATACTATTTTTATTGTTTTAGTACAAAACTGGTGACATTATATATGCATTATAAGTTATTATTTAAGTATTATTTTTAAGGCGTTTAACTACTTGATCGTACTGTATATGTACAGAAAGCTTTTAGTGGCGCGAGGCTTATCAAATGGCGTGCATCGCGAACACGTCCAGATCGGATCAAAGTGGCCTTTCAAATTTGACATCGCCGCATGCAGTCGGTTTTTATTTGCGTATACATGGTCTATTTTTTAAGGAATGTTTCTTTTTGTATTTATCGTTTCAAATGTCGAGCGTTTTCAGGTGTCGAAAATATTCATATCACAATAGTAAACACGTGTCAATCAGAGGAAAACCAAATTTTGAAGTGAATGGCGTTCCTCGACATTAGAACATTGATTCAGTCAGCCGAAAACCTCTACAATTTCGGGAAAAAACATGCGATAATAGCAATTTTTTAAGTGTTAACATAAATTACGTACTCGAAATTTTTATGGCAACGCTGATAAGAGCGTTATCTGTTGGAACACATTTTCTGTTAGAGAGACTCGTTTTCGCGTTCTATTAGTTTGAAATACAGAAATTTAGTTGTTGATTAGCCAATTCCAGGACCTTGTGCATAAAAGCCTTATTTGCTTACAGTCATACCAATTAACCACCAAGACTGTAAAACAAAATTGTCGAAAAAACATGTTTCTGGCATATAATCTGCATATTCCATCTAGATAAGACTTGTGTGTTTCAGATAAGCGTCCTACAAAATAAATATAAGAGACAGATATTAAAGCCTGGTATTAAAATAAATAAATCGTTATCTGAAATCTAATAATACCGTTACTAATATTGCAAAGAAGATTTGACGCGTATCATATTAATATAAGCTTTAGGCCGTATAATATTGCTACCGTTTAAACCCGTTTATCTAATCGCCTAATCCTTAAATATTTTATCAATATGTTTTTTGAAAAATTTACATATTGAAAATCACGTCTTTGAGAAAGATCAGAAACACATTATTAAATTTGTTTCGTTTATTTCATTTAGACCATATTTTATAATACAAGATCATGAATATATGCTTAAATGTTCAAGAGCAGTAATATTCTATCCAGTAATATTCTATCGTTATTATATAAAACAAAATGTTTTTCTCTCCAACAATACTTGAAATACTTGTATGCGATTTTGTAAACAAGTATTCTGATGAATCGGAGAAATACATACATACATATATATATATATATATATATATATATATATATATATATATATATATATATATATATATATATATATATATATATATATATATATATATATATATATATATATAAAAATAAATTGGGAATGACAGGGATCATTACACAAGGTGAATCACTTAAACGTTATGTCGCAAAGTTCAGATAATTTGCAATGATAGTTTCCGCTAAATTTCCTATTTCAGATTTTGAACCTTACACATTCCCTAAAATAATGTCACAAATAATCTGCATACAACAGACAGACGAATTTGGCGAATGAAAATAATGTGACAGCAGCATTAGTACAGGTTGTTAATCAGACTAATAATTGGATGTATTAGAATAATTAATATTATATTAATTATACGTCATTATAATTATAGAGATATAGATTTAATTGAGATATTAATTATTCGAAAATGTAATAAATAAAGACTTACATAGAAGTAAGAGTAATATGAAAATAGATAAGTTGTAAAAAATGTTAGCCGTCATGTTTCTACATTCGTTATTCAAGTTTATCAATAATCGATAATAGTTTTTCAATTTCTGATTTGTAGGAACGCATTGAAAATTCGCTTATCTTGCAAGTGCAGAGATTAAAGTATAAGATCATGGCTTCCAATACAATTACTAAATGTTGTTTACCTATAGAAACTGCTTCTAGAATGTTTAAATTGTATTGTGGATCAGCCCGTATCACCAAATCTGAGCCACTCTTTAGTCATTTCCCATTATCTTCATTGCCCATCATCTGACCGTCGCTTTTCGGGCAATTCTGATTACATATCCAACTCCAATCATCATACTGGTCAGCAAGGAGAAAACATTTACAACACAGATAAGTTTTAATTAAAAATTGCGGTAAATTCTGTGTCAATATAAATCAAGGAGGGTCACGATCAGCAGACCAACGGTGCTTGTAGCTCCCAACATTGCGTGTTAACCAACTCCGGCCGACATTAACACGCAGCCTAGCTAGTGTTGCCAAACTTCGCAGTTCTCTGTGATATCGATTAAAACGGATACTAGAAAATATCAAAAACTATATAGATCTCGCTTAAAGAGATGCCCTAGCAGAAAGAATATTTGTGTGAATAATATTATTTTAAATGATAACATAACAACTAAGGCCGAGTCAGCATCAGACGATAACTGATGAGTTTTTAGTGCCAATCAACAGAAGAACTTTATGGTTGGTTTAGTTGCTTTCATTATATGTGAGACATACACTTTAATTTTATTTTTAATTTAAATTTTAATTGGTGGTCGGTGGTTTGGTAGATCTAAAATTGAACGAAGAGGAACGAATGTAGTGTTTCATAACTAATTTCATCAATCTCATCAAACTGATCCTGTTACCCTCTACACATGGCAACCTTGCTTAGTGATACAGTCATTGAAATTTTTACATTTTTTTTTTTGGATTAGACCATGGATAATTCTAAAACATAATATCGACATTAGGGTGGTGTGTCAATTTTGTTTGACTGTCGAGACAACCTGATAAGAGATCAATGTCTCATCCCAAGCTTATTCATTTAGGTGGAACTGACAACAGCGCGTTCCTTATAGTAAAATTCAACGCACATTGGGCTTACAAGGCTACTGTCACACGAGGTCTTTCCGTCCGTACGCGATACGGTCAATGAGGAATAATAAGCTCGGCTCACGGTTGACGGTCTACCTCCTTATCGCAAAACGTGGTAGAGATTTGTAGATCTGCCAAAGCAGATAAGTTAGTTGGTTGGTGGGCTTGATATTTCGAGTCAGTTATTTGCTGAGTAACGTTCAAAATCCCTTACGCTGTTATATTCCGTATTTCAAACGATGACGGGGAGTTATGTTGATACGACATGTAACGGAATATCTAAATAATCGACCGATAAATTCTGACGTGGTATTAAGCTCTCCAGGTTGCAGTTGCGCATATTTACTGGGAGTATTTTTCATTTTATATGTTTCGCTTTGTACCCATTGCGAAGTGCTTTTCGGAAAGGTAAAATTCAGATCTGGATAATTAATTTTCTGATTAAACTAGTAGACTCTTCCGAACAATATACCGTTTTACGACACAATCGAGAATTTAACTTTGGTAAATTTTTATGATGGTCTAACCGCAGGCCTACCTCGCTTGGATTTCTCTTTGTAACTCTCAATAAATTGATTCGGACTTCGATACCTCGTACATACAAATGCTGAAGGCGGTGAGATTCCTCTATTATTATCATGAACTATGGCATACGATTTCAGAAATAGAAATACATTCAAAATTATAATTTTGGCAGCAACCGACAACGAGCGACGCCGATTTCAACTTCGTCGTCGCTGAACATCGCAAGTGACTAGTGTTTGGTAGGAAATAATTTGTAATAAAAGGTATATGGTACCTCAATAAAAATTGCATATTATGTCTTGAAAAACAATTGAATAATAGTAAGTTGGTAATTATAATAATGGAAATAACTCCAAAGCTTCGACGGTTAAGAAAACACTGGTTCATAAAACTGACAGCTTACCCCGATTTCAAAAACCTCTACAAATCAACCAATACTCAACTGAGACGACATACATTATAGATCACTTACCTACATAAGATTTTGTATTGCTTTTCTAGGAAAATCTTTTAGTCATGGATGTTGTACTCTTAAATTGGAAATCAGTTTAAGCTTTCCAATGCGTTCTTAATATATTAGATCAACCTACCTAATAGGCGAATTCAACTTGATTTATAAAAAGCGCGCTAATATGGATTAATATAACAATTTAATTAACATAAAAGGTTAAGAAAACGATATATATTTTTATAAAACTTCTGGATTCTTCCTTGCGTCAGTTTTTGTTGACTCAAATTAGCTAGCCTTTCGCCAATCATTCTATTGGCTTCTTCAGAGCTTGACTGAAACTGGCTCGCATTTACTCTGTACCTGCTTTTATATTGGTTGCGGGGCGGAGCTAATTGAGGGGTAAGACACCTGAGTCGCGGTTAAGATTGTTAGGTTGATTAGATATTTCTATAGAATCTCGGATTTTTCGTTGGTAGAAGAATTGACTACATACAAGAATTTTAATTTTGTCCAATAAAATGTTATGTCCGGTTTCGTGATTGTGTTAGATGAGCTTATTTGTCTTAGTCTTAATGCTCTTTCATGTTCTTTGGGCTTAGTTGATATTTTTAGTCTGGTCTTTCCAATGTACTCTTGGCCGAATATGAATGGAGTGCTGTAAACTCTGATTTTTTAAAACCCCTTAAATCTAATATTGCAAAGCCTGAACGCACTGTCCTAAAATCTCTAAAATCTAATCCCGACATCGTAATCCTAAAAGCAGATAAAGGAAATGCTACGGCGATCATGAACACAAATGAATATAAGAAAAAGATTCAAGATATTCTTACAGACGGATCATATCGTCAACTTAAAAAAGATCCTACGTCATCTATAGAACGCATCCTTAAATCTATCATTAAGTCTTCTTCTCATGACTCTAAAATTCCTCGTCTCTACGGAGGCTCAAAGATTCACAAACCAGGATTACCCCTTCGACCTATTGTCAGCACCATTGGTATATTCTCTAGCAAAATATCTAGCTTCCTTAATACCTTTACAGGGAAAACTAACAGTACATAATTCTTTTCACTTCATTGAACAAATAAAAAGCATTACATTAGATATACAACATAATCTTGTTAGGTTCGACGTAGAATCCCTCTTTACTAAAGTTCCTATTGCTGAAACTCTCACCATCATTTCAGATATAATAAAATCCGAGAGCCTGGAACCAAACCTTCTCACCTTAATTGAAAAATGCTTGTTGGGAACAGCTATGGGTTCTCCACTATCACCAGCCATCGCGAATATATTTATGGAAGCGTTTGAGAAGAAAACTCTCGACACTTTCCATCTAAAACCAAAATTATGGAAACTCTTCGTAGATGACACTTTGTTATTTGGCCTCATGGTTAGGCATCTCTAGTAGATTTTAGATTTAAACTGTATACACCCTAACATACGTTTTACCATTGAGTTGGAAACTAATGACAACCTTTCATTCTTAGATATTCTTATCAATAGAAAATCAGACCTAACATTGGATCAATGTGTTTACAGAAAATCTACGCACCCAGACGGTTATCAACTCTCTTGTTTACAGAGTCGTAAAACTATCTCAGTCTGCGTCATTGAACTCAGAATTAAAACACCTTACCTTTGCTCTTCTCTCTAATAGTTTCCACATTAAAGATATTAAGGCGTTCCATCACAAAATACACTTCCCCATAACCTTCCAATAGCAATGAAACCGAAAGCATTCCCACACTTGCCACTGTTGTCCTTCCTTATATTCAACACCTCACTGACCACATATCAAAATTATTAAACAAATGACGTCAAAACCACATTTATCACTTGTCCAAACATCTCTCAACATCTTCGATCCGTCAAAGACCAAATTCCATTTGAGATGCCAGGCCTTTACAGCATTCCATGTATATGCGGCAAAGAATACATTGGAGAGACCGGACGAAAAATATCAACTAGGCTCAAAGAACATGAAAAAGTCTTAAGATTGAGGCAAATAAACTCATCAGCAGTTGCCGAACACAATCACCAAACCGAACATAAAATTTTATTAGACAAAACTCAAAAAATCAGAGAGTCTATAGCAACCTAAGAACACCAATATGGGAATCAGTCACCCGAGACGGTGTTTATGCCCCACATTTATTTCCGCCCCCTCGAACAATACATAAGCAGGTACAGAGTAAAATATGAGACAGTTTCAGTCAAGCTTTGAAGAAGGCAACAGGAGTGAAACGTTAGCTAGTTCGACTCAACAAAAACCGAAGAAGGAGGAATGCAGAAGTAAAAGAATTACAGTAGCCTGTGAAAGTTTCTTTGAAAAATTAAAACGGTATATCGTAAGGAAGAGTTTACTGATTCATTTAGATTTGGTTATAAGCAACATATGAAGATTTTGTTGTTTTCATTACCAAAATTTTTGCTGGTTTAGTGGCCAAATACAAAAACTTAATCCAATCTCTAATAGCTTCACCCTGAAAAGTTAACTTGTTACTGGAAAATTGAGTGTGTAAAAACTAACTCTTCTTTGATAAATTTGTCCTGTTTTCAATAATTTTGCAATCATTTCTCATTACATGTCCGGAATGTCCTAGTTTCCTTCTCTAAATAGTGTTCATCGATCATTTGTTGGTTTTTGTCTTTGTCACATTATTTCCGGTAGATTGTTCCATTGGTTATTCCGTCTACACATGTTATTTTGTGGATTGAGAGTTCAATCATTACTAGTACTGTTGTTGCAATAAGTGAGATTTTCAAATGTTACTTTGACATTAACAAGCAAATATTTGAGTTGTCAATGTCCGATAGTCCTCTATGCTCGTTAAACTACGAATAATTATTAGTATTATTATTTTTGGCTCCTTCTCGATTCGCGTAAAAAAATGTAGCGGTTATACTATCAAAGGCATGGTGGACAATTTAAGCAAAGCAGAACGAATCATAGGAGGGTACCAATGTTCTTCCGCAGATTTTCCGTTTACGGTAAGACGCTCGGCTTAAGCTATTGACCGTTACTTATATTTATTATTATAAAAAGGTAAGATTGATTACTACTCCGTTTGGGAGTAGAGCTCGCCACGTATGCGGAGGCACACTTTTAAATAAGAAATGGGTGTTGACCGCGGCCCATTGCGTATTAGGGGTAGCCGATAGGTTTCCCAGCTGGTTCGCTGTTGTCTTCAATAAAGGTAGGTTTGATAATCATGAAATAAAGAAGAGTTATCCTCATCCGCTTTATCACCAAGAGATCCCTGGCGTCAACTCACCAATGCACAATATAGCTCTAGTTGAGGTACGTGAATGTAATATATTAGGAAGTTGAAATGCCACTAATTTCAAATTTACTTATTTGAGTCTATAGTATTTTTTATCCAGATATGAGATTTTCGGTTAACAACATTCGAAAAATCAAATTTGAAACCTTTGCTTTATATGTTTCAATTGCAGTAGAAAAAAAAACAGGCTTTGGGGTAGCGAAAATATCGTTTAACAATGGACGTGTAAGGAAATGTGCTTTAATGAATTTCAACGAGGTTTCGAGAAACTCTAAACAGGATTTGTGGGAGCACTGGGGATGTAAGAAGAACCAATAACCGCAAAGAGTTAATATGTGGCCTTAGAAACTATTTTAATACAAGCACCACAATAGGATACAAGTGATGGGTTACAGAGACCTTTGAAGTCAAGGTCACCACTCTTATCGCTTATACCATGACCAAATCATGTATTTACCCTCTACAGAGAACTATATTTACTAGACTAGTGTTTATGCAAAAATTATACTGGTTAAAAGACATGCAGGGTGTCTCAAAACCATAAATTTCAAATACAAAAATGAAATTCGTGTTCCCTCTATTTTGCAGAGAGGCTTCGGTGTAGTGAACTTTTTGATTAAATTTTTCAATTAAAAAATCTCTTACTTTGTGTTGAAAAATTTTAGAATGCTCTCAAAAGTGGCCTCAAATTTTTAAAATATTGTATTATTTCTAAAATATCTCTACTCAAATAGTACACTGTTTGACAGTTGCTGGCAAAACTAATATTTTGACATATACTGAGATTTACGTATCATTCCTGACCAAAATTTTGAATTGTACATATATACATCCACTGACATTTGTGGAGCGTAAGCGTGAATACTTTTATGAATATTGGTAGCCATTTTATAAGAATGAGTTTTAAAGCTGGATCATGTTCCGAGTGGAAAACATGTTATCTCAACAATATAAAAGCCAAGAAATTGGAAATCATTGGTCATATTATGGAATATTAGTGAAAACAGGTTTGTTATATTCCATAATTGTTATACCCTCATGGTAAATGATGTATTATAAAATAGAACTGCTAACTTCCAAGCTATTTTGTGGGCATTGTGATTTGTCGCCTTTTTAGCCCTCTATAGTAAGTATTAGTAGAATACATTTATAAGCTACAATGAATACGTTGGTTTGCAGGCTAGCACAGGATAATTTACCAGCTATGATTTCTCATCTACTCAGCACTCTACTAACATTCTTTAATTATCAAGTTGATATTTTTATTTGAAGATTTGCACTATTGATATACTTTGGTTGTCTGGATAAAGAAATCTAACTTTCTAATTTTATTGCGATTTTGATTAGCTTTGGTTAGTTCTGGAATCGGGAAACGATAAGTTAAATTGCAAAAAATGTAGAGAGGAATTATTTCTATAGCTTGAAGATTGAAATGGCGAGTGTGGAAGACGAAAACTAAACTGATTTGTCAATTTCCGCTCTAATTATTTATACTAATACATGTGCTTATGCTTAATTAAATGCTGGCTCAATATTAACAATACATCTCTGTGTAATAAATAATGTTTTCCTGCTAGTGTTGCCTAAAATTAGGAATGTTGGGAATAATATACAGGATGACTCTATCAGAACAGGATACTTTACAACTGAAAACCACACAAAACATTAGTTTTAGAAATATTAAAAAAAAGTACCTATTTAGAAATGTTTTTTCAAATTTACATGAATACACATACATCAATATGAATAATAAAAACAGACGTTAATAGCCTAACCTTCCGCCAAATACTCTGTATATTTTTGAGCACTAAATATAAAACGCTCAAGTAGACACCGGGGTGTAAAGCAAGTAAAAAACCAATTATCCACTAAAACACCAGTTTCGGCATTTGCCTCCCACAAACTATCCTTTTCTTCAAAAATTTTCTTCCTATTGTTTTACACATATTGTTGGGATTTTCTTAATATGCAATATGGTGGGGTTTTAAATTTTAAATAACCCGGCTTAGTTATATAGTCCTTAAAATATGGATGAGACTTTGGACAATTGTAATTATTAAACTTTACCTTTACATTTGATTGTTTAATTAACACTTATTCCAATGATTAAAACCTTGTCCCAATCATATATTCGAAAAGAGGTTAGGTGTGTAAAGATTTCAAAATGAGCATTTTTTATTTTGGTACTACTATTAATAAAATTCTATACAGACGGTATGCTTTGACACTCAAATCTGTCCGTTCAAAAAAGTTCATAAAAATTAAAACAGCAGAAACTGTCAACGAGTTAGGCAAAAAACAAAATTTCTATAATTATTTAATCTTGGCTGGTATAGCTATGGTGAACGTATTGACTGCTGCTCTAAGCATTTATACGGTTGTTTTCGAGTATGAGGATTTCATTTCTAGTCACGTGTTTGATTTATTTTGAGAGTTGGGCTCATTTATCATTATATGCCCAGTTTGCTTCTCTAAATCGTGTTTTTCTCATTTGTTTATCTTTTCCGTAGATTGTGCCATTGGTTACTCTCTAATATTCTATGGTATGGTATAGTTCAAGGTGCCGAATCTCCGAATAATTATTAGTACGGTTGTCGTTACTGTGACATTAACAAGCAAATAATTCAGATGTCAAGGTCCGATAGTTATGATCGGTAAACTGCGAATAATTGTTAGTATTATTATTATTAGTTGCTTGTCGATTCGTGTAAAAAAATGCAGCACAAATACTGGCAAAGGGTTGGTGCCCAATTTAAACAAAGCAGAACGAGTTATCGGAGGGTACCGATGTCCGACCGCTAATTTTCCGTTTATGGTAAGACGTTCGGCTGAAATTTTTAACAGCTACTGATATTTGTTATTATAAAAAGGTAAGATTGCTTCATTTTCCGGTGGGAACGAAACCTCGCCACGTATGTGGAGGTACACTCTTAAGCAAGAAATGGGTATTGACAGCTGCGCGTTGCGTATCAATGTCACCCGCAATTTTTTCTAACTTGTTCGCTATTGTCTACCATGATGAAAGATTTGACATGTATCATATAAAAAAGGTGCATCCTCATCCGGGATATCATCAAGAGATCCCTGGCTACAAAACATCAGGGCACGATATAGGTCTAGTTGAGGTACGTTATGAATTATGAATGTCAAATTTTGTCAAAACTTATTTAAGTCTACAGTATTTCTCAATCGGATGTGGGACTTTCGATTAACAACATATTTCTAAAATTCAAATTTGGAACCTTTGTTTTATATGGTTCAATTTAAAAAAAAAACAGGCTTTAGGGTAGTAAAAATGTCGTTTAGAAAATGTGCGTTGTACGAAGATGTGCTTTAATGAATTTCAACGAGGTTTCGAGGGGCTGGGAAATCCTTTCGCGAGACTCTTAGAAACCATTTTAACGCAACCAACACAAGTGAAGGGTTGCAGAGATCTATGAGAGTCATACTGTTCATAGTTGGTATTGATATTAACCAATAATGCCATAACAGTTGGACATTAATGATAGGTTACTACCTGCTAGGTTACCATAACTTCAGCAACTTTAACCTCTTCAGAGAAGTGTATTTACTAGACGACTGTTTATTCCAAAATTTTACTGATTAAAAGACATGCAGGGTGTCGCAAAAGGATGAGTAAACTATAAGTCATAAATACCAAATTGAATTTCGCGTTCCCCGTACTTTGCAGAGCGTCCTCGGTGTAGTGAACTTTGAATTTCTAAATGAGAAAGCCTCTACTGACCGTGTTAAGATGACCTTGAAAAATTTTAGAATGCTCTTAAAAGTGGGCTGTTTAATTATTGGCGGACTGCAGGCAATGGAAATTTTTGAAAATATGACTACTCAAGTGATACACTTGATTTAAATACAAAGATTTAAATAAATTTTCGATATATGAGTTTTAAAGCTGGATCTTGTTCTTTCTCGAATAGAGAACATGCTATACAACAATAAAAAGCGAAGAAACTGGCAGGTGAAATTATAGGTCATAACATGGAATATTAGCGAAAATAGATGTTATATTCCGTAACTGTTATACCCACAATTAATTCAGAGTTCAAGGAAAGTTGAACTCCAACTTCTAAGCGATTTTTTGCACATTGTGATTTGTCTCCTTTTTGGCCCTCTAGAGTAAGCACTAGTAGAATACATTTTTGAGCCACAGTGAATACGTTTGTTTGCCACACTAACACAGGATAATTTGGCAGTTTTCATTTCTCATCTAGTCAGCATCAAAATTAAAATAACTCTTAATGACTAACTAACCAACATTCTCTTATGTTATTTGAGTGGTACAACCAAATAGTCGATCTCGGAGAGATCCAAAATTGCCAAATTTGGGATTTGCATAGCGGATTGGGGATACGATTTTTTAAAGCATAAGAGTACGAGGGCTTGATTACGATTGCTTTGTTAAAAATAAAGTGAGGTTAACATTGTCGCACTTCCTTTTTGAATTATAAAATACAATGGTCAAGTGGAAAATAGGTAGAAAAATTAGATAGAACCACCTGTCACAATAACACAAAATATTAGATAATTATTTACTATTAGTTAAGGTTTCCGTTTGGATAAAGAAATCTTGCTTGCTAACTGCATTCGGATAATCATATTTTTTCCAAACTGTATAAAAATAATACCTATGGGTTGGGGTAGAACTGCAATGCAAAAAAAATTGATTTAAAATTATACATGTGCTTATGCTTAATTAAATGCGGGTTCTAAATAAACAATAAATAAGCAACAAATTATATTTTCCTGCTAGTGTGGTCTAAAGTTGGCAATGTTGGGAATAATATATATGATGTTTGGGGGAGGGTTAAATAAATCTCGTAAATTTATAGGTAGACCCATTTCAATTTTATTAATAGTTTTAGAACCCATTATTTCGGTAGTATTTGTGACTAATTAGCATTTTATTAGAAGAACGATGTCTCACAAATCAAAAACACAAAATATTAGTTTTATAAAAATTTGTAAAACAGTTACCTAATGGAAAAGACGTTGATGACACATGTCCTAGGAATAAAATATGTTTGCAATGGGCCTATAAGGCTACCAAATATATAAATGTAATACTAAATATCAAATACTCAATTGGTTAAAGCAGGTAAAAAGCCGAGTTTGTGCGCTATGACTTTACTATCTTCTTTTACCAGTTCTACCAAAGCAACAGTTTCCGCATTTGCTTACAATAAAAAAGCTTGCTGTAGACATTTCCTACTATAAATTTAGCACTTTTTTTTAAATCCGGTTTTTTTGCGACTTTTGGGATTTTCTTAATATGGGAAGCCTTTAAATTTAAAATACCCTGGTTAGTTCTAATGTCCTTGAAATATTGATGAGACTTCGGATAATGTTACTTTAATAAAGTACAAAAAACTTCTTAAAAACTTGTCCCTATCTACTAGATGTGTAAATAAACGATCCAAGCCATTTAAAGATCAGCGTCTTTAGTTTGGCATTACTATTAATAAAAGTCTATACACACGCTACGTTTTGTTCATGAAAATTGAAACAGCAAGTTTGGCAAACAAAATTCTATAATCATGTAACCTTGGTTGTTGTGGTATAGCTATGGCGTTATCAGTAATTCGGCGGTTGTTTTCGAGCATGAGGCTTTCATTTCCAATCACGTGTTGGATTTATTTTGAGAGTTGGACTCATTTATCATTATATGCCCAGTTCGCTTCCCTAAATCGTGTTTGCTCACTTGTTTATCTTTCCAGTAAATTGTCCCATTGGTTACTCTCTGATATTCAATGGATTGACCTGTAGGGCCACAGTTCAAGATGCTGAATCTTTTTGGACCACAGATAAATATTTACTAATACGGTTATTGCGACAACTGAGGTTTCCAAACTTTACTGTGACATTAACAAGCAAATGATTGAGTTGTCAATGTCCAATAGTCTTTTATGCTCGGCAAACTACAAATAATTAATAGTATTATTATTCTTGGCTGTTTCTCGATTCGCGTAAGAAAATGTAACAGTGATACTGGAAAAGGGTTGCTGCACAATTTAAAAAAAGCAGAACGAGTTGTAGGAGGGTACCAATGTTCTACCGCATATTTTCCGTTTATGGTAAGACGTTCGGTTTAAATTATTAATAGCTATTCATATTTATTATTATAAAAAGGTAAAATTGGTTATTCTTCCGTTGGGAATGAGACCTCGCCACGTATGTGGAGGTACACTCTTAAGCAAGAAATGGGTGTTGACAGCTGCCCATTGCATAATTATGTCACCCGGTAATTTTCCTAACTGGTTCGCTGTTGTCTACCATGACGAACTATTTGACACGTATCATATAGAAAAGGGTCATTATCATCCGGGTTATAAGCAAGAGGTTCCTGGTCGTAAAGCGCCAACCCACGATATAGGTCTAGTGGAGGTACGTGAATATAACATTATGAATATCATCACAGCAAATTTTATTATTTAAGTATACAGTATTTCTGAATCAGTTGTGGGACTTTCGGTTAGCAACGTAATTCGAACTTTTGGTTTAATTAATTTTACACAAAAACAAATTTCAAAAAAAATCGTTTCGCAATGCAGGGGAGAGAAAATGTGCGTTAATGAATTTGAACGAGGTTAGATAACAGGATTACTGGAATACTACAACAGTGGTCTGCAGCTACACGTTGTAGGGACACTGGGAATTTAAGACGAAGCAGTAATCGCGAAGATTTATTACCGACTCTTAGAAACCACTACAGAAATGTATGAAATCGATTTATTGAGAAAATGGAGCCATTCCAGTTGGACATTAATGAGGTGTTATAAATTGCGTCTCCTATTGGACAGCAAGGTTCACTTTTTCTGCAATAAAATAGTAGATCGATCCAGTTATTAAAAACTTGATCCGATAAGCTAATGTATACTTATACTGTACAGCACTTAGCACAGACAGATGTCGACCATCTATTCGCAGCAGGTCATGAATTGTTACAGACACTCAAAAATTACGTGGAGGCGCAACTAATTATTCAATTTTTAAGATTTTTTTTTTTTAAATTTGTTTGAAAGTGTCATAAAATATATTTACATATACTGGGTGTTCTAATTTTTCTACATGACCATACCCCGACTGAAATTTGTATTGTGCTGGTATTTACCATCTACAAAGAAAGATGTTTACCAGACGACTTCTGTTATGTTTAGGTGGAGATTTTTTTGATTAAAAGATATAAAGTGTGTTTAAACAGGACGAGTGGTATTTTCTGAATGAGCGTTACATTGCAAAGCGGCTTCGGTGTAGTCAACTTTGAATTTCTAAATGAAAAAGCGCAGAGATGAAAATTTTTAAAATGTCACTCCTGGAGTGATACACTGTTTATACGTTGTTGAAAATTTGGATCACCGTTCGCCGTTTGTACAGTGTAAATAAATATTACGAATGGTTAAATATTTATCGATATCTTAGCGTGTTTTAGTTTCTCTCCCTTTTCATAGACCTTGGCGGCGAACCAGTTCAAATCATATTCAAACCTCGAACTTGAAAACTTTGGTGGTTATTAGTAGCTATTGTCTAAAAATGAGTTGTGTTGTGTTGCTTTTTCTAGGCTGGAAAACATGTTATGTCGACAATAAAAAGGCATGAGATATTATTGAAAATAAATTTGATTGATTCCATATACAACGGACAATTCATTCAAAGTGTATGGAAAATCATTCATTCCTCTTAAAAGCTCAACAATCAATTTCTAACCGATTTTGTGGACATTGTGATTTGACTCATTTTTATGAGTATGATGTATCCTCATCTAGTCAGTATCCAAAAAATTTAAATAATTTGTAACACAAATAATCAAAATCCTCTTATATTCTTTTAAAGGCTCCTTAATGCCCCTTAATGCAACTGATTCGTCAATCTCGGAGGGATCCAAAAGTGCCAAATTTGTATTTGCGCAGCAAATTGGGAATACTTGTTTCGAAGCAAGAGAATGCGAGTGCTTGATTAAGATTGCTTAGTTAAAATAAAGTAAGATTACAATTGACGCATTTCCTAAAACCAGTATTGTATGAATTATAAAATACAACAACCAAGCGGCTTGAAAAAAAGCCAAAAATAGGTACGACCGCCTGTTTACATGCCACAATATTATTAAGTTATCATGTTGCTAATAGAATTTGAAGTTTTGCAATATTGATATAGTTTTTATATCTGGATAAAGAAAACTTAGACCCTAACTTTACTGAGGTGGTTGAGTTAGGGAAAATATCATTTGACAAAGATATTTTCCCTAACTCAAATTATCGCTCGAATTCGTCTCGTATTGGTTCAGGGAAGTTCTGAATTGGTTTTGTTGGTCAAGTTTTTCTCCAAGAAATATTCAAAGTTATTTTTTATTCGCAAGTCTCACATTCGGAATAGCCGATGGTCGATCATAGAATACTGTCACCTCAGATGATTAAAATTCAAATAAAAGGTAATATTTTGTAGTTGCATGAATACGTGGCGTCTGATATTCCATTCGTCAAGGTACCGGATAAGCCAATTACGGTTCCATTCGAAAAACTTTGCCCACAAGTATTAACTATGGGCTGGGGTATGACTAAACTCGAACAGCACGTACTACCGGACAAACTACAATGCGCCAATTTGACTACGATCAGCACAGAGCTCTGTTCCAAAATGTTCTTGTTTACCACCGCATATTTTGAAGACAGTTTGTGCACTTTCGAAGAGGGAAAAGACGTCTGCGTGGTAAACTGCAAAAAAATGTGTAGAATTTATGATTTTATTGAACAAGGATATCTCAAAAGATAAAAACAGACAAAAAATAGGTTTTCGAAATGTTTATAAAAAAAGTTACCTAAGTGAAATTATTTCTCTAAATTTTTAAATTTTTTTAAACATATTGCAAAACGAATAAAAAAAAATCGGGGCACAGGTCAATAACAAAATATCTTAGCAATGACCCTACCATATGCCCCTCTTTGCCAAACACATTATGTACGGGCTGCGCGGAAATAACGTTCAAATAATTTAAAAGGTGAAAGGGATGAGAAATAATAATTTTTTTTCATTTGCAGAAATGCATACTTTTCAAGACACAGATACAAATATCAAAACTAACCAATTTAATGCATGCCCCTAATTTTCAATAAATTCGAATCGGGTTTTTATTAACCGTTATCAAGATTACAATTATTAAAGATATTACTAAAAAAAATATTAGAATTTGTGGTCAATTAGGGAGATGCAATGAAGGATCAAACAGCTAAAAGCACAATTTGCGGGCCCCGATTTCACATATGACAATTCTAAGGCAAAATGTTCCACTAGTATGTCCACAGTATTTCAAAACGAATGGCCATAGAATACCAGCATTCCTGTTGAAATACACCGTATATATATGTATATAATATAATTGGTAATATATAACTAAATTAAACTACTGATTTTTTTCTTGCTTCTTTCTAGATAAACTTTAAAAATGTATAAAAAGAAAAGAAATGTACTTGATACACAAAAAATTATAATTCCTTTCTGCAGATACATCATTATCTGTAATATGTTAATTTCAGTCTTTTTTCCTTTTAGGGTGATACCGGTGGACCTTTACTTTGTAATGGAATTCAATATGGTGTCATTAGTCTTTCACAATTATGTGGGACTTATCCCGGAATCTATGTTAGGATTGACGCACATTTAGATTTTATTAAAAGTGTGATGAGTCGAGCTTCGAAAAAGCTAATCTTAAACAAGCTTTTAGGCTTGACCGTAATTGTGTTTACTGCGACTGTTGTGTGAAATAATAAACGTTTTCTGCCTTGAATTCGTTAATGTTTTGTGGCAGTAACAGATGTCAGGGAAACAGGCTTAATCTATAGAGAAAACAAGACATACTTTATAAAAGTGTTTGTTCAGTCCGTGTCACAGATATTTATCGAATTGTATACAAATACGAAGAACATTCTCAGCGCAAACAAATGCTTTCAATGATACTTTGGTGGGACAACATGTTTATTTTTTAATTTTAAATATTGGCTTTAGGCCACAATGCCAGGAAATGATATTTAGATTGACACTATCAATTCCCCGATGCGGGTAAACGTATATAGATTAAAATAAAAATTATTTGTAAACACGAGAAAATTAACAGGATGTTTGTAGTGCGGATCATTTAAAACAAAAATTTGATATTGCAGGATCTAATATGTATATACTCACTTATACTATACTTTCATCGCTATTATAGGTAGTAACTCACCGCTCACCCTATCTAAATTTTTCAGATCTGCGCATTACGTTAGGTTACACCCATATAATGTGCTTAAATTATATAACTTGGATTATTGCAATATCAACATTTAAGTGATGAGTCATAAGTTTAATTTGATTGACTTAATAACCGAGTGAATATCTATGTGTTACATACTATACTATTAGGGCAATGCATGTGTAAATTTCAATTATGATTTCGAAAGAAATGTTCAGCTGCATTGAATAAGATACTACTAGCAGGACGACTAATTAACAACTAACTACTTAGTTACGCATTTTTTAAGTAAGCATTTTAAGTTCAATTACAATTGCAATGTGTATACTTGACTTCGCCTAGTTAACGAATATCGTTCTTTAACGCCATATTTTTGGCAAATAAAAGGAAGTTTATTAAAACTACTTATTGAGTAAGTAGGGTATTAAATCCAATACCTAAAATTAAAATGGAAATATAGCACTTTTCTTTTACATTCACTAGATAGCGTCAAATAACATTATTTTTGTAAATGATAAATAAAACCGAATATTAAGTGAAAAATTTAATCGATCGGTGTAGGGAAAACAATAATCGTACAGGGGCAGTAGCGAATACAATAGTATTTTATTTAAAAAAATCCAAAAAAAAGATTTAAATTTAAATTTAAAATGAGCTTTACTGAACTCTTAATACTAAGATAGGAGATAATAGTCAACGATATTAAGATTTGACAACAATTAATATGCACGAATATGAAACCATTTATTCATTTAAAGAATATAAGTTTTTGTATAGACACTAGAAAGGAACATCCTGTGTAATTGAAAATATTTAAAAAATATATGGCTCTTGATTTTAATCAATACTCGTTAAAACACACACTAGTGAACCACCCTGTAGGTACGAAACTGTCGGGATGGATTTGTGGACTAAACCAAAGACAAGCATGAACCTTACTCTATCTAAACCTGACGACGCTCATAGCTTCTATCGAAGCATAAAATGAGATGTGTTAATACACTATTTACTTATCAATAAACATATCAGAAATTGGCGCACATGTTCGGTGCTTGGAGATAAAAATAACTATTAAAATGCAATGACAAAAATGAATGAAAAACGAATTTTTAATGTTGTTTAACATGGTTAATTTAATAAGTCGTCTTTTGTGTCTTGAAAAAATTTCACTTTTGAAATATTATAACATTTTTGGATTCTACAGTCAACATTTGTGTAAGTTTCAGTAAGGTACCGAATCCTAATTTTAATTTCTTCAGTAGTTAAGAAATTATAAAAGTAATGTTTACAGTGGGATGTAACATTAAACCGTATTTTATATATCGATTATAAAAAAATCTCATCTTGTACAGAGTCATAAAATCAATCATTTCACTTACAACTTTTAAGTTTCTATAAAATAGAACATACCGTGAAAATACTGTTTTTTGCTTCAGTTTTATGTTATCGTTAGTCACTTGGTTTAGGTTTCTTGAAATTTTGTAAAATCTTTTTTGAATATTGTCTTTATTCATGTTAATGTTTAGGTTGGTTTTTAAATATACCACAACACGTAATCCTCAATAATTTAACAGACAAAGAGACTTGGTCGCACATTCCGACCAAATTAATTAATTTCATTAACTAATTGAACACATTATTTTACCAAATATTACAGGCAATTAAATTTTTATTTGGAAAAAATCAAAATCAATGTTTCGTGTGTTCTGGAAAAACGTAAAATGCTAAGTAATGGACATCCTAACCTTTCAATTGGTAACCGCGTGCCATTTAAATGAATCAAGTTATAGTCAATTATAATTCTTATTAGATTAATTTTTTGGACATTTTCTTAAGAATGGGAAGATTTTTTTACAATTTTGCCGTACTGTAAACTTCGCCTACACGACTTAAATATTTTTTAAGTATTGAAGATATTAAAGCTAGGTTAGATTTTGACAAACTTCAAATTATCATAAAACACCGTGGAACGCATGGATTGTTGTAGGCAGGGAAAATATTTCCTCTACATCACCCAAGGACATTGCCCAGGAATTCAATAAGTACTTTAGTAGTGTGCACTTGCACAGAAGATCAAAAGGCCAAAAATAAAGTAAAAAATTAATTTGAGTATATTTTTGTCGCCGATACTAGAAAAATAATTAATACAAATAATAAAATCGCTGAAAAATACGGATTCAAATCTTAAGGATAGTGTATCTAACGCTGTTATTAGAAAAATATATGAATATTTGACTAGGCCGCTGTTGGATTTGGTTAACTTGGTCTCTCCACGGGAGTCCTCCCGCATATTTTTAAGGAATCCGTTATTATCGCTCTATATAAATCAGGTCGAGACCAAATCTCGAATTATAGGCCAAATGTACTAGTACATAGTGTGGGTAAAGTCCTTGAAAAGTGTATTGAAATTAGATTAGAACAACACTAATCAATTTGGTTTTAGAAAAAAAGTAGGTATTCCACACTATGTCGCATCATATCTTGCTGGAGAGACTTGAAGCTTTAGGTATTAGAGGGCTAGTAAAAAAACTAATTAAATCATACCTACAAGATAGAGTGCAAAAGGTCAAACTAGGTGACACCCTGAGCTGCTCTCTTTCGGTAGGGTATGGTGTGCCGCAGGGCACCGTTCTGGGCCAATCTTGTTTACATTACATATGAATGGAATATTTTTCTACTTTACCGAAGGAAGGTATTGTCGGCTATGCGGATTATGAGACATTGATTATTGTTGAAAACATTGGAAAAGAAACTATCGCAAAGGCGGAAAAATTACTAAGTCGGCTAAAAAGTGACCCTGCCGTCACTTAATTTAGAGAAATCCCAATTCATTAGTTATTCCATTATGTAAGCGTAAAGAAACAATAAGCCATTCAGTAAAAACCGGATTTGTATTGATTTGTATAATTTACTTCAGTGCAAAGGAGCCTTCTGTGTGCAGCCCGTAGAATATATAACGCCCTCCATTGTATATCTGCAAGATATGGAATATACAAAAAAGCTTGTTGACGCCTGGTTATTTAGTGTTGATTATGACATTCTGGAAGTGATATTAGCTGTGAATAAAATTAAGTGGGTGATAAATATAATAATTAGAATATTAATATGAAGTTAGCCATAATTAGTAAGGTAAGTTGCATTGCATTTCTCAAATTCATTGTGCATTTGATATAATTTTTTGAATGTATTATATAATTGCTGAAATAAATGCTATTATTTATTTATTTATTATTATAAAAATGATTAAAAATTGGAAATTAAACAGTTAAAAATTAAAATAAACACCAGACCAAGAATCAATTGCGCCAAAAAAGAACACAGAACAGAAACAATTATATATCTCATCCCAATCACTATATCGTGAATAAGTATATACAGTGTTTTAGTTGTATCATTGAATATGTACAACATAGCAAATTTGCCCCAAAGTTTTTCACCTGACCCCATATACGGGAAGTTGCATTGCGGAATGGAACCTAGGAAATCCCATGTACATTTGTGTGTGCTCAGATATTGGCTCTCCTATACATTTTATAGCAAAGTTGTAATATAAATTTTTGATGGGTTTGAATAAATTTTAATAAGCCAATCTTCCATTATTGAATTAAAGGTCAATGCAACCAACACCAGCGAATATTTTCCATGGAGCTATTTCCAAAACTTGACGAGGTTAAGCTGGACAATAACACATCAAATAAAGGTTGGTTTACAAAGGTTATGTTTTTCTTAAGATCAAACTCATGCTCGGTTCTTAAAACCTCGTTTTCATTGAACTTTAAGTCTTTTATTAAAAATAATTAGTTATAATAAAAATACGGCTATAAAACATTGCTAAAAAGAAACGTTATTTAAAATAAACAACCCTGCATTAGCAGTTAAACAAGCGATCATAAAATTCATTTCTAAGGAAATAGCGTTTTATAACTGTTTAAAATTTTCAAATTTAACATTATTATAGATTCAAGTGACCCCACAGAAAGAAGTCGTTCGGCGAGAGGTAAGGTGACCAAGGGATTCCGCACTTTGGGCAGAAAATATTGCCTTTAAAAGCATTTCCCAAATACTCCTTAACCATGTCCGCAAATTACCACCATAACATTGGTTTTTTGAGGATATTGGCTTCGAATATGAACAAAACTATATTCATTGTTTTGGCTAGTTTATAGGAAAAATACTTGTGTGTTTTTAATGTGCGGAACATTTTGGATTGATGTTTATTTACAGCTTGTCCAAGAATCCTTGTACTAATTTTGTTTTCCTCATCCTGCAAAACGTAATACGTTTAATTGTTGAAATCGAAGGTATAGTTTTAGCAGGAAAATAAACTGAAAACATTTCAGACACTGCTCTAAGATCATTTCCTGCATGGCACCACTTAATTATGTTTACTTTTTCTTCAATTGAATATTTCGCTTTAATTACAATGCGTTTAATAACGTATAACAATCGCAAATAAAAATATCGTTATTTTCACGAATTTTCGTGGTATCATTGTCAAAATGTATTTTACTGGTGTTTGATTTAGTACCTAAACCATAAACATTTTCTAATTTTGCCGTCATATTTAATTCAATAATAACTGAAGATTGGCTTATTAAAATTCATTCAAACCCGGCACATGAGTTAATCAGACCGTCCCCTTCCAACTGTTATATTACAGCTTTGCTATAAAATGTAGAGGCTATCTAAAAATTTACATGAGATTTCCTATGTTCCGTTTGGTAATGCATCACCCGTTATACTGTGTGTATATTGAATTTTATGCTAAAAATTATTAGCTTTTCGATAAATCACAAAATAGAAAAGAAACAAAATTCAACATTTTCTAAAAGGCCTTGTATAATTAAAACGAAAGGGCTAAAAAAATCAGTTTCCTTCTATATTTAAGGATAGGACGGCCGTAGACTTTCCATGGTTTGTCAAGTACTCAGGTATTCATGGGTTCAGTTCACACTCATCACTCAACTCACAAAAATTTTAACAATTGGTGTTGTTAATTTTCTTATCCTCTTAGATATAAAAAATTGGTTTGATTACTTTTATTTACACCTTAAATTCAAAGAAATCTTCCCACGTAAGTAGACTAAACTTCAGAAGATATTTTTTTTAACTTAAAATTACGCAATGTGCAGCAAGTCATAATTCAATTTACCAGAATATCTGATATACAGGATGGGCACTAACGGAAAACAAATATTTCAAAAGCGTAGCACCAAAATATATTGATATGTTAAAACAAAGTCGTTCTGTCTTTACTAAATTAAGTAAAAGAATTGAAGCCCAATAATTCATTCAAACAATAAGAATTTATTGTCATGCTGCAACTCGAAAGGGGATATTTCCGGACACAGGTTACGTAAGACTTTTTGGGTATTTCTACAATACAACCTTAAAATAATTCCCCCTTCACGAAACACCCTGGAATATACAACGTATACTTTAAGTTAGGTAGTCTGATATATAGCGACCGGGCCACCAAAAACTTTTCTTCTCAGCAATAAGTAGAGTATCAGCGCTATTAACTGCCACTTATTAATCACTTACCAGTTGGTTTCGGAACGTTTCTCTTGACTTGCATCCATTTGTATGTTGGTATCACCGGTTGAGGCTGTTGGGGGGCACCTAAACCATGCATCCCGTGGTGTTGTCTTAATCTAACGTGCGCGTCAGGCAAAATCTCCTCTTTGTACCTCTGCAGATGTTGAAATTCCATACAAGTTGAGCTCTGTCCCGCGTTCGAAGTAACTATGTGCGGGTGGTGATACGAACCTTCTGCAGATTCGTGATATTTATTATCTTGAAAATAGGTGTGGTGAATTTCCGAAGGCTCTTCCGAATGACGCAGCAAAAGTTCATGTGGTGGCCGTGGTGCGTAAGTTTCGCTGTATCCACTCTGATGGTGGTGATAAATAGAAGGACTATTGGAGTTTGCGTAGTCTAAGTTCGTGTAGCTCAAGCCGGTGTCTGTGTTAATAATGGGATTGTCTTGAGGTGGTTGTTGGGCATGGTAGTAATTTAAATCTTGAGGTGATGGCGGTGTCTCGACGGAGTCTGTTGATGTAGCACCCGCTCCGTACAGATATGAGGCTTCTTCGTAGTGGTGATAATTTGTGGGATAACTTCCGGTGTATTGATGATGGGAACCGACGCCATGGTTAGATAAATCGCCACCCGAATAGTTGTAATAATTAGAGTCTGTAGAATTATAAGAAGGAGCGTTATGTTGGTTGTGATGACCGTACATACTAACATCCATTGTGATCATTGTTCAATGTAATTATGACGCGGTACTGTCAGTACTTGCACTTAGTAAACACTCGACACCCTTTTCAGTCGTTTCACTTTTTTAATTTAAAACCCTGCACGTGCTCTAAAAGTTAGATCTGCACCGTTTGCACCATGAATCAACTCACTTTTCGTCGCGTTTTAAAAGTTGTCAGCCTAGACTGCACGGAAATCGTGTAGAACGTACCATAACCTGTACGCTTACATAGTCACCGCGCCACTAAAACGCCAACCGATGTTGCAACAAAATCCACAGACGTCGAGAGCTAAATCTATGGGCGGAGCGTTACGAAAATGGTCCTTTGCGCCAAGCTTGCATCGACCAATAGAGTGCGAGTGAAAAGTTCCCTTTAAGAGTCGTGCGTGGTAATTGGCCAGCATCCAGCCATCATTGGAAAGCAACATTTCAATTTGGGAGAATGTTACAAGTGTCAGCTACCGTGTGACATGACAGCTTTACTTGTATGTTCGCATGTGGTGTATCAAAGTGGGCTGTACGGTGGCACGGTCCTTATCGGTAGGCATAACGTGAGCTCTCCGTACATGCTCGCCTTATATTTAAATAAATAAATGACGCCCTTCAAGTTTACCGGATGCCTCCCATGTGTACTTTAATACAGCTGCGCAGTCTTTTTAACCTTCAATTTTATGATTTCTTTAATACACTACTAAAGTCGAAAGAATTGGTTTTCAGAATTAAAAGTTATTGCCAGGCTATAAAATAAAAATACTATTAATAAAAAAAATTCTTTATTTCAATTAGATTTTAGAATAATAAAATTCCTAATGAAATGACAAGAAAACAAGTGAATATGGTTCTAATCTCAGTAACTTTTGGTAAATCTTATATATCTTATGCATTTATAATAAGGGCCTTTCTCAGTCTGTGATTAGGCAGCATAATATTCTGGGTGCAATTGTTATAATTATATATTATATTTCGGGCGAATATTCTTCTTATTTATTGATCTTATGAGTCCTCTTTGTTATATTAAAAACTCTTTTTATGTCAGAGGCAATACCCGAAAATATTATGCCACATCATACAGATTTCTGTTCCCACATACCTACCGATTACTCTGATAGCGTAACCTGCCCTGTTTAATTTTATATAGTCAGTTTGTTGGTTCCCGTTTAGACGCTCATTTATCTAACTTTCTATAAACTCAGCATTTTTTAGCATTTTAGCCCTATATAACCAACAATGAGGATGAGTTGCCTTTACTTTGTATCGAAATAAAATCATATTTATTTTAGTTTGTTTTGTCTAAACCAAATTTGTCAAATTCATTTTTGGTTTTATTTGTTAGCTCCTATACGTTTTCTCCAGGAACTAGGATGTATGTGTCTTCCGCAAAGTTGTTATAATAAATTATCGATACCGATCCAATAAAAAATGAATAAAACTAGTCCCAGTATACTATCCTACAGTAGCCCTACTTTATTTTAGAAAATTTCCAATTTCACAATTTTGCTTTTATTTTGTATCATGACTGCTGCTTACTATTGGAAAGGTATGATTTTATCTCTTTACCTCTAATGCTATATCTTTCCATTTTATACAACAAAATGTCATAGTCTAGGCAATCAAAGACTTTACTCAATTCTAAAAATAAAATTATGGCTAGGATTTTTGTTAAACTATCCTAGAATTGTTTTAGTAAATTGAAAAATGGCGGACTATTCAATTCACATCAATATTTCAAACAGCTTTTAGAAACTGCGGAAAAGACTGATTTACTTTTTTATGCAAAATTCTATTGTTATGTTGTCAGTAACTTATTTTGTGTTACAGGAAGAAGCTGTATTGACAGATTATATTAAATAATAATAAACTGTCTTTATTGAAAGTCAAGAAATGACAAAATAATGCAAGGGTGTTGACATTCGTACTTTGTGCCCTTCCATGTAATCACAAGAACAACAGCACCAACACCATAATTGTCAACAAAATACACACCCGTATACACATCGCAAAAACTGGCGGCTCTAATAAACAACGCTTTTTTGAAGGACTCTATTGTGGGGAGGGACGTTATAGCATAAGGAATTTCATTAAATAATGTTACTGCGTTATAGCTAAAAGATCTCTGGAAAGTTACCGAAGTGTGTCTAGGAACGCAATATCTTAAACAACACAAGTACGACGGGGTCTTATTGGAGTTTAGTAAAAAAATAAAAGTGGCTAACTGAACTTTATGTCGGTCCTCCAGCTTAAGCCAACCCGAATCAGAGAGGCACTGTGAAATATGGTCATACATTCTGAGATTGTAACTAAAACGAATACAAGCATTCTGAAGTCCTTGGAGTCTTAAGTATGGCTGGCCATTAGATAATACTGCAATAAGCGACATGGGATATAACTAACATATCACGTTCACATTATTATAACTATCCTAACATATAATGGCGGATTCATACAACAAAAATGGGCCAATGTGCCAAACGATTAATAATAGGATAAGCAAAACTAATCAAAATTATCCGGACCTGTGTCCCCTGCCAGATTCTGAAATTTGAATAGGCCAATTGGAATAAGCGCCAAAGGTGTACGGTTGGGTTGTCGGATTCTAAGTTTTGAACAGCGGTTTTTAACATGAAGCATGAAAGTGTTTTAATACAGTTATTTAGTATATATAACTATATAAAACTAAGATTAAAGGGCTGCTTGAAGTCTTTTAATTGATGCTATTTTTGTTACTAACACATCTTTAGTATTGAGGTCTGGGGTCGGATCAGCGGGACATATTTCTGATCCCAGTTTTATTTATTGCGACATTAATCTCGCAAGGGTAGCAAAGACGCCAAAAAAATCAAGCATCGATCATTTAAACACTTTAACTTTAATAGTTTCGTGTGTGATATCAGCTCTTTACCTTGGGATGATATATTGTACGAAAATAACATGGATAGTAAAATAATTATACTGACTCAGTTTATTTTTGTTCAATCTGCATGCGCCTTTTAAAGAATCCTTAATAACTATGCTAAAATTCCTTATTTGACAGAAACAATAAATTATTTATGAAATCGCAGAAATTGAAAAAATCTAAACTACAGTCTGACTGGATACGCTATAAACATCTAAGAAATATTACATTAGCATCAATAAGAAAAGAAAAGAAGCAATATCTTAACTCATTTAAAAACCATTCTAAAAAAACTTGGTCAGTTCTAAAAAGTTTCAATATATGCCTCACAAAAAATAACGTAAATACACAAAATTTATCAGAACCTAATGAAATTAATAATTTTTTTTCTACATACCTACAAAATAAGTCAGACTGTTCAGCATAAATAAACTTTTATAATAACAATTGCTATACAAACAATTTCAATTTCTCGTTTAAAATTGACTGATATATGCACTTTGAACTAAATTCTTAATAATATTAACACTCACGCCACCCCAGTCGATGAAATATCCCCACTTGTGTTGAAATACTGGAGCTCTTTTGTGGAAATTTTCTATCGGTAAACCGCTACCTAAAGCATCAAATCCCTTATAAGTATTCTCCCAGTTTTGTCGAAGATATTCGAAAAAAATCTTTATGAACAACTTGTCGATTTTTGTACAAAATATAATAAATATCATTCGCAATACTCCGTGTGATTTTCGTAAAGGGTTTGGTACGTCGATAGCTTTGACTAATATATTGGATGACATTCTTCAAGCTTGGGATAAAAAAATAAGTTCTGTTTTAGGGCGTTTAGACTTTTCGAGGGCCTTTGATACAATTATTCACGGGCTGTTGGTGGCTAAAGTATGATACTACGGATTCAATGTAGAATCTTCTCAAATCATACTTAACTTTTAGATTTCAATCAATTCTTTCAAATGTTCGGCAAAGGTAGAAATTTTATCCGGTGTCCCACAGGGATCAATTTTAGGCCCACTACTTTTCCTTCTCTATACTTCTGATATCTTGAAATCTTTAAAATTCTCTAAAATTCAAGAATTAATGATCACCTTCAAACTTTAAATCAGATCTCTCAAGACCACAACTTAAAACTTAATCCAAGTAAATCATGTGTTTGGGAATAATAAGAATGTTAACTTCGTAAAGAAAAAATAAAATATATTAATCAGCAACTCGAAATTCAATTTTAAAAATTATGTCAAGAATCTGGAAATTATCTTAGACACCAAACTTAGATTCAAAAAATATTTAAAAAATCCTTTGCCTCCATGAAAGTTTTATATAATAATAGAGATATTTTAAGTAAATAACTGAAATTAAGACTGTGTGAACTTTGGTCCTCTCTAACTTCAATTATTCTGACTTGGTCTATCGTTTTTGTTTGCATCCGGAAAATAAGAAGCGTGTTGTCTATGGTGTGCGGAAATGAATGAATGAATGAGCGAAGAATCCTACATTTCTCGACATTTTTGTTTATAATAATAAATAATCCTAATCCGCCAGTTTCCATAAAAAATCACATAATATTTCGTAACACCGTTCACAACATTTAATATTGTGGAATTATGTCAAACTAACGACGCCACATCATAAAACTGCAATCTTTTAGCGCTCATTTTTATACAACGGCTTAAAGTATTTCAACTTATAAAATAAAATATGAAAAATATCTTCTAACTCTCTATTAAAAGGCTTAAACTAAAATTAGTAATATAGTACCTACATATCACGGAGTTCTTAGAAAATCTTAGAAAACCAATTAATTCTCCTCTATTGTCCTCCAACCAAAAAGTTACTTAAATGTATTTAATTTGTTTTTTCCGTAATTTATTTCCACAGGAATAATTACAGTAATTTCTATGGGTAAAATTTTTATAGGATTAACATGCCATTGTTAAACTATTTTTGTCTTTGTTTGGTTCAATAGAGTAGCCAAAGGCTTGAGCCATACTTGGACAGGTAAATGAAATTATTTCTTTGTAATAACTTTGTGATATCATATTGTTCAAATAAAGTCAATAATATTATTATTAATATTATTATTATCCTTTTCCTCAGCTGAAGCTGGAACTTTTACCTGCTTACTTCTTTGGTGTTTTATTCACATTTGGGCTAGGCTGGGAATGGTGGAGAAAAATTTCATTGTTTTCCATTAGATCCCTTTTTTTCTTTCATAGTTTTGTCCCATTCAGAAGCTTGCGCGTTATATGGCATGTCTGAAGAATTATGCATTTTTTGCATGATTTCGTATAATCGTTGGTAAGTTTAGTTTATCGATA